GAGTGTGTGTGTGTGTGTGTGTGTGTGTGTGTGTGTGTGTGTGTGTGTGTGTGTGTGTGTGTGTGTGTGAGTGAGTGCGAGTGCGGAGGGACCAAGTGCCGCGCACAGGGCAAGGACGACGCGACAAAGTTGACAAGGCCAAGCAAAGAGTCAGTCGCTGATTTGCATGCATGCACGCAAGCAACCAAGTCAGACGAGAAAACACACACACACACACACACAGAGGAGGCGGGTAGGGGACTCACCGGTAGCACTCCTCGCAGGCGAAGCAGTTGTTGTTCACGTCACAGTAATCCGTCGCGCCGCAGTCCGTGTGGTCGTTGCACTCCACGTTGGCCTCAGTTGTCGTCGCTGGAACGAGAGAAGGAAAGGGAAAGGAGAGAGGAGAGGAGAGGAGAGGAGAGGATGGGTGTGAGGACACGATGGTGCGCACGAACCGAAAACAGTTGAGAGGAAGGAAGCAAGAAGCAGGCAGGCAGGCAGGCAGATAGCGAGGGTACACGCATGCATGCATGCATGGATGGCGAGGGATACGCCGGAATTCGGGGGGGGGGGGGGGTTACATGGAGCGAGTAGGGGGCAGTGCCAAGAAGCAGACTTACTCAGGAACTGGATGCACCACTCCTGGCAGGGGAGGCCGTAGATGCCATCGTTGTTTGCGGGGCAGTCGGCGCACGCGCTGCATTCGTAGTTGGTGTTGCAGTAAGAGTTGTCAGGGCAGTGCGGGCTGTATTGGCACTCGAAGCGCTCATCGCGGCACTTCTCGGGGCAGGTATCGGGGAAGTAGCCAGCTGCATGGAACGAATATATTTGATCAGGCAGGAAGATTTGGGGCAGGAAGGATAGATTGAGGTGAGGGATGAGGGGTGAGAAGGACGAGGAGGGGCATCAAACAGGCGGGTGAGGTTCTGCGAGTTTACCAACAACGATCACGAAACAAGGCCAAGAGCCACGCGGCAACGTCACTCGGTGAGTGAGGGCAACTTACGGTTTTGCGTGCCTGATGGACGCGGGGGGGGGGAAGTGATAGTGAGCGTGGTGGTGGTGAGGGATGGATTAATAAACGGGTGGCAAGAGGCAGCAGCGGGAGCAACAACAGCGTGTGCGGTCAGACAACAAACAAACAGCAGGGCTGGAAATGATGGACAATGATCAACGAGGATCGTTACATCACGACTTACGGATCTCGTCCAGCCAGACGAAGCAGCCGCTGCAGTTGTAGCAGTTGTTGTAGATGTCGCAGTATTCATCGCTTGGGCAGTCCTGGGATGAGTCGCATTGCGCGGCTGCATGGATGCGTGGACACAGGGAGGCAGGCAGGTGTGTGCGCATATGTGAGTGAGTGCAACGGTCAATCTGTGAACGGTTGCCACAGCGACGGCAGCATGCATGCACTGCAAAAAGACGTGGACGAACAAGTAGCACAGAACACGGGTGCCGTGTGATGGGAGATGGGGAAAAGCGCACCAATTGTTGCGGCGCAGGCCAGCAGGGCGACGAGCCCGATGGCCAGGTGGATGAGCTTCATAGTCGGTGGTGGTGGTGGCGGTGGCGGTGGCGATGTTGTTGTGCTGCTGGCAGTGGTTGACGAGGCTGTGCTGCTGCCGTTGCTGCGCGTTGCGTCGGGGGTGGCTGGCTGGGGAGGAAAATGGCTTGACGCTCTCAGTTTTTTTCTGCTGGTCGTTGCCCACCAAGCCAAGCAAGAAGGGGGAAAATAACGGTCGGCAAAGCAGTGCTTACTTCTGCGGGTTGTGTGTGTGTGTGTGTTTGTGTGCCTGCAAGCAAGCAAGCATAGCACGTTGTCAGACAAACGGGGAAATCGTTAGGGAAATGCCCATCGAGACACCGAATTATTGGTCAGGGTGGCGATTTCGGCGACGGTTTTTGCACACGTGCACGGCCTCCAATGCATTCCTTGCACACGAGCCCCGCAGAACAATGAACCAAGTGTTTTTTCAAGGAATTTGCCTTCGCGTGCGCGGTTTTCATAACGAACACCCGTAAGCGTGTAACGGACGGCCAACACACGCAAGCAAGCAAGCAAAACGTGTGCGCTGACCGATGACTGAATGCTGGCCAGAACGCAAGCAAGCTAGCGAGGTGAAGTGTGGTGTGTGTTTAGCGGCAAAGCACCCAGCCACAGCTGCCACGGCAAAGCAGCAAGCCACACACATAACACAACCGCCACTGACACACGGGCGTGGTGGTCTAGAAGGTTTGGGGCTTTGGGGGAGACAGACTAAGGCAGGGATGCGACGACTTGTTGGCATGTTGGCGTGCTTGATGCTGTGATCACACTCGCACAGGACATTCTCATTGATCACCACTCGGCGTGTGATGTAAGGAGATAGGCTAAGGAGATGTGTAACAACAACAACAACAACAACAACAACAACAACAACAACAACAACAACAACAACAACAACAACAACAACAACAACAACAACAACAACAACAACAACAACAACAGAGAAGCAACTCTCGTTCGCTTTCCAACCAGCCAACCGCTTGACTCTTGACCGGCACAGTGTGAGTAAAATCTCTCCCAGCGAATCAGGTGCTGGAATGCGCATTGAGTCGAGCGATCAATGCTTGTGTGCTGGCATGGCGGTGGAGGGGACTACGCCTCTGTTTTGACCTCTTCTCGTTGCACTATGGCACTGCACGCAGGCACGCTGAAAGGCACGAGGATGTCTCTAAAGCGGGGTTCTTGTTGATGGCTTCATGATGCTACGCTGTTATGCTGCTCTTGCTACCTTGCTACTCGCCGATGCTCGTGCGCTTCATCCAGCACGTCTACTTGTCGCTTCGGAAGAGACTGTTCAGGCACAAGCACACACACACACACACACACACCACACACGCACACACACACACACACACACACACACACACACACACACACACACACACACACACACACACACACACACACACACACACAC